GAGGGGCAGAGGGGCGGGGTGCGGGGGGGGGCGATGGAGCTGGGAAGGGGCCAGCGGCGGAGCCCCAGGCGGCAGGAGCTGGGCGCTGGGACGGGGGTCCCGGGAGGAGCCCGCGGTTCTCACGCCTCTGCCCGCCGCCCCCTCCCCGGCAGGTGCACCTGATGAAGCCGGACGCGGTCCCCAAGGCGTGCTGCGCGCCCACCAAGCTGAGCGCCACCTCCGTGCTCTACTACGACAGCAGCAACAACGTCATCCTGCGCAAGCACCGCAACATGGTGGTCCGCGCCTGCGGCTGCCACTGACACCCTGCCCCCGCCGGCCGGCCCTCCGCGGGTGCGGGGGCCAGGAGACCCCGCCCCCAACGCCCAGCTCGGGCAGGGCGGCAGTGAGGGCCCCCCTCCCCTGCCCACATCCTCCAACGGGCTGGTCCTCCCCAGGCCCCCTGCCCCATCGCGTGCCTGGTGTCCTGGTGGAACTCTGCACGGTGGTCTGTCATCCAGCATGGTTCCACCCCAGCTCCCTCCCGAGGCTCAGGCTGCCTTTTCTTTGGGGTTGACAGAGAGTCCTGTCTTGAGGACCCACTCTTGTCCATTGCTGGCCCAGCTGCGGGCGGATGTGGGGTGAACTGAGGCACCTGGAGTCCAGGATGGCCACCTCAGGCCCTTCACCACCCAGGACTGGGTTTGGGGATGTGCAGACAGGTCCTGGTCCATCTCCAGTTGCCTGACCCTCCCGGGTGCAAAACCGGGCATTTCTGGGCACTCAGAACATGGAGTCATCTTCAGTTTTCTATATTTGTGCATCTGAATGACCAGACTGTTGGCCACAAGGAGGCATGTGGGTCACCTCCAGAAAGAGTTGAATGAATAGCATGATTTAGGGCCAAGGCCAGTGTCAATTACCTTCCCTGTCCTCCTGCCTTGATCTGTCTCTGCTGTCTGGGGAAGATGTGCCTTGCATGGACACTTTGGTGAAACAAAAAAGCTTGGGGGCTTTATTGACCCCATCTGTCAGTCACTGTGTTGAACAATCAGGAGTTCAGCTCTGTGAAAAAGTTACCTTTTCGCTGAGCCCAGTATGGTGGATACATTGGGTGGCCCAGGATGATAATGCCCAGCAATGGTGACAAAGTTTCTCTTAACTTTCTTCATGGCAGTCATCAATTATCAACCTTGCTATTTTTTTGTTCAACTCTGGAAAGAATTTCAAAGTGATCAGCACCAAACTCAGGTGGCCACCACCAACAGATTAGAGTTGTATGTAGAGTGAAAACTGCCTGCCTTCTCCTGCTAAGAACAATTCACTGCACCCAGGGACACTGGGTGGCCTGTGGCCAGGCATGGGGCAAGGGCAGGGCTGGTCAGCACCTGCCTGTGTCCAGAAGTTGTCAAAAACAGACTGGTCACCCAAGTCTGTGTCACCCTGTGTGCCCCAGAGTCCCGTCCTGTTTCTTGGGGTCTGTGAGCCAAAGAAAAGGCCCGCGTCCCAGGGGAGTGACAGGTGGCAATTAGGCCGAGCTGGGCGGGGAGGTTCCCGGAAACCACTGTTCTCCTTGGAGCAGCCACCGGCAGCTGGAGTGTTTATTTGATTTCTGACTTGGTAAGCCTGTAATTTTACCTGGTGGAGCAGACAGAACCCAGCTGTCCAAACCCCAAAATATCATTAAAAACAGATCCTGGGCCCGCCCCAACCCAGGGGCACAGCCCAGGATGACACCCCGGGAGTTCACTCTGTGCCCCGAGGGGCTCCGGGAGCGCAGCAGGGGTGGAGGAGGGGGCTGGGCTGCGGGACAGCAGCCCCTCCGCCTGGACCTGGGAAGGGCTCTGGGAGCCAGTGCACCGGAAGAGACCCCTACATGGACACAGGAAAGCAGTGAGCTCCACAACAGTGTAGGGATCTAGGCTCTGGCCTACATGTTAGGGATGTGACTTTGTGACTTCCTCCTCTAGGCCTCATTTCCCATCCGTAATATTAAGCTTTTTGATCTGCAAAGGACCTTCAGCCTGGGAAACTGTGTCTGCCAAGCTTGTCTCACACTGAGCCCAGAGGCAGCCTGGCAACGTGGAGCTCAGGTGGCCATCATGAATCAGAGCTGGCACATAAGGTGGAACCTGTTTTTATTCTAGTACTTACCTAAGAGTTTTCTCATCCCAGCAGCAAAGAGAGTCTCCTGTGCATGTGCTTAGTCGTTCAGCCACGCTCAGCTCTTGTGACCCTACGGACTGTAGCCCGTCAGGCCCTCTGTCCATGAGATTCTCCCAGGCAAGAATACTGGAATGGGCTTAGTTAGGGGTACACCAGGAATGTCTGTCTGGTTACCCAAAGGTTGGCAGATGCTGAGCACACCTCACCTCCCAGCCAAGCAGTGCTTAGCAGGAATGGAGCTGCAATCTTGCTTTTTCATCCAGAACAACTGAAAAAGTGTTATTGTTTATGTACCTGGTAGTCAGATTTCAGCAACTTTTGCCATCCAGTCACTAAGTGAAATCAAATAGGAAAAACCCTGAGTGGTGCCACAGTAGTAAATGAACACAAGGCCCATGTATTTTATCCCAAGAGTTATCTTTGCTCAGCCAAGTGGTGCAGTGGCAGGAGAGATGCCACCATTTCCCTTTTCTTGCTCAGGGCCTGGCTTGTTTACCTGGCCAGACTAGAAAGAAAAATAAAGGTGGTCTTCAGACCCACTGACAGCAATGGGAAGTCAATGACAGCTGATAGGTAAGGAGGATGTGGGGAAAAAAAGCAAAAGGAGAAACACACAAGTTTTGCTATTTGCAATGTAATCCTGGCCTCAAGAGCAAGTCATCATGTCAGGTTCACTGTTTCAAACCAAGGTAGGCTAGTAACATGTTCTGGAAAATTTCCTAAGAAATAGGAAAAGAGGCAGCAGGCATAACAACAGTACATATTTTTGAAGCCAAATGGACTTGAATCCTGGGTATTCTTCCTCTGTAGAGCAGGATAGTGGCTCTCTCCTTCCAAGCTATTAAAAAGATCATCTGTGTACACAAACATTTAGTACCATTCTGGCATATAAATATTTAACAACTGGAGAAAGTCAATTGTGTTCAACTCTCTGCAACCCCATGGATGGTAGCCCACCAGGCTCCTCTGTCCATGGAGTTCTCCAGGCCAGAATACTGGAGTGGGTAGCCTAGCCCTTCTCCAGGAAATCTTCCTGACCCAGGAATTGAACCCAGGTCTCCTGCATTGCAGGTGGATTCTTTACCAACTGAGCTACCAGAGAAGCCCCTAAGAATACTGGAGTGAGTTGCATTCCCTTTTCCAGGGGGTCTTCCTGACCCAGGGACTGAACCTGTGTCTCCTGCGTTGCAGGCAGATTCTACTTAACAACTGGTATCTGTTGGTTTTATTACAAAAGAGTTTGCTAGTTTTGCGCCCCTTCTGTGCTCGGTCACTAAAACTTTCTTCTTCTGAGAATGTATTTTGTGGGTGATGGTGTTTGTTCAGAGCTGTGCTTTTTCCTAAAACATTTACACACCACAATCTTTTGAGGACAGGACTTGTGTTCTCACTGCTTTAAAGGTCTGGGCAAGTGGCCGGTTATGCGGCAGTGGCCAGGGCAGTGACACCATGCTGTGTGTTCCCAGGAGCCTGCTGAGGGCGCTCAGCACTGCCGAGGTGCCCTTTAGGCAATTTAAACAGGGCTTGTCCATCCTGAGTGTCACTCATGGGGAAGCCTTTTATAAGCACTTGACCCACTTTTTTTTTTAATGTGCTTTTATTACAGCAATAGTGCAATTTAGAAGGAAAGTTTGGACAAAACAAAAAAATAAAATACAATTCAAATCACCATAATCCTACAAGTCAGATAAACATGCTAGTTAATATTTTGTTGAATTTATTTCTAGGCTTTTTTCTTAAGATATATATATATATATATATATATATATAAAATATAGATGTTTACATATTACAGATAGGTATTTGTACAAAACTGGAATTATCCTGTGTTATATAAACTGCTTTAGATGTGCTTTCTCCACTTTATTATATGGTATAATTTCCCCTAATAAATACGTTTTGAAAATATAACTCTCTAATTTTCCAACACCTGGAACTCTTTGTTTTTCACCACTAAAAAGTAGGTTCAACAGTCTTTTTTTGTGCCAGCAGCATCTGGAGCAGACATGCTATGAAACACTCCCAAGCCACAGAGTCCTGGGGCCACAACCCTGGGTTTCTTCCTCTGTGCAGCCACCACACCCAGCAAAGATGGGGCCTGGCCCTGGAGGAGCTAGTGAGGGATGGTGTTGGTTAATTTTCTGTCTATAACTAGACCGCGGTATCCACAGTTTAGCCAAACACCAGTCCAGATGGTGCTGTGAAGGTATTTTTCAGATGTGACTGACATTTAAATCAGTATGTCTGAAAGTAAAGCAGATGACCCTCTCCCAAACAGTGTGGGTGGGCCTCATGCAATCAGTTGAGGGTCTCAAGAGAGAAAGATTAGGATACCATGAGGGAAAGGAATTCTGCCTTCAGAACAGTCTTTGGACTCAAGTTTCAACATCAACTCTCCCTGGGGCTCCAGCCTGCTTGCCTGTCCTGCAGCTATCAGACTTGTCAGCCCCCCCAACTGTAGAGCCAATTCTGTATAATGAATCTTTCTCTGTGTACACATAGGCACATCCTATTGGTTCTATTTCTCTGGAGAAGTCTAATACAGGGACCATATGGTATCTGTCACCAATTACTCCACTCTGTCACTGCAGTAAGAATAGGTAAACCAATGGCTATGACTGTGTTCCAATAAAACTTTAGTCATAAAACCAGGTAGTGGGCTGGATTAGAACCAAGGAGTTTGCTAACCTTTTGTCTCCTGACAAACAGGTATAGTACCTAGCATGGAGAAGGCACTGTGAGTAATAAAGTATCGTTTTAAAAAAATCTGTAGAATGAAAGTGAGCAAATAAGCAAATGTATCATGGAGACAGAAATACAGTCACTGGCTCTGAGGCTGGCAGTGTGATGTGGGAGTGGAGGCACTGAAGACAGGAATTTTTCCACTGTCTTTGATGCCCATGGTCTTGACGGTGGTCTGACAAGGGTATCTGGCCTGAAGATGTATCACCCAGCATCTCAGGGAATCGTCCAAGGGAAGAGAAGAAAAGCTGTGGGGAAGAGATTATGCCCTATTCCTACCAACCCGTCTCGGGGGACAGTTCAGCCCTGACAGGCGACATCTGACAACTCCCAGGAACTAGCTGGAGGCAGCAGTACAAAAACTAGGATTTATTTACCAGAAGAAAATGTCCAGGAGTCACACAGGTGGGCCTAGGAGAAGCCCTGGTGGCAAAGGCCTGGAAAGGCCATGCCCAGCTGTCCATGGTGGGGAGGGCGGCCCTGAGTCCAAGGCCACACCTGAGGACGACCGGAGGAGGCGCAGGCTGTGCCTGCAGAGGGGCTGCCCCACGCTGACCCCGAGAAGGGCCAGCACGCGAAGCCCTGCTCGCTGCCAACGGGACACCTCGGGCGCCGGTCCCCGGGTTGACAGCTCCCCTCTCACACGTACTCCCCACAGTCGGAGATGATCACCTTCTGCTTGGGCTTCCCGTCCTTGCTGCCCTGGGCCTTTGCGGGCCGAAAAGAAGAGGAGGAACCAGGGGAGGGAGGGTGGAGAGTTGAGGGTGGCTCAGGGATACCTGCCCCTCTGCCCATCCCACCCCCACTCCCCCAATAGCAGCTTGTTGTGGTCTCTCTCCAGGTCCCCGATTCAGCTCTCCCACATTCACGGCTGTGCCCCAGGGACCCCGGCAGCCACCTACCTCAATCTGCCGCAAGACATCCAGGCCATCCGTGATCTCCCCAAACACTACATGCTTGCCGTCCAGCCAATCTGTCTTGTCACATGTCAGGAAGAACTGGGAGCCGTTGGTGTTTGGGCCGGAGTTGGCCATGGAGAGCAGGCCTAGGGGAGAGAAGCGCCCGTCAGCTCCCCCGACTCTGCTGGTGGTCCTGGGCGTGGAGGGGGGAGTGTAGATGCTGCCCTGCACCTGCAGATGGGAGAGCGAATGGGACGGGGACCAGGAGCTGACTATGCGCCGGTTGGAGAAGAGTGGCTTCAGTGGACCAGTGGCGCTGGAAGTCAGACTAGAAGGGGACAGAGAGAACCAAAGGCAGGGAGTCTAGACAACTTTTGCAAGAAGTTTTGGTGAAAAAGGGGACCAGAGGCATGGGTGATAGCTGAGGGGGGCACATGAGTCAAAGATTGACACTGTGTGCTTTTGTGCTGATCGAGCAGAGCAGGGGACAGGCATCACATGAGGCAGTGGTGGGGCGCAAGTGCAGAACCAGGTTCCGAAGGGCGCAGGGTGGGGAGAGTCCGGGTCACGAGCAGAGGGGAGGTGGCTCAGCCCCTGTACTTGGTGGGGAAGTCGGTGCAGGCAGGCGTGGACAGATGCAGGAGGCCAAGCATCAGCGGGGGCAGAGGGTGAAGTGGAGGTTTCAGGAGCGAAGCAGGCAACTGTCGTCTCTGACCAGGACTGAGCATGAACTAGGAAGCTCTGTCCAGTGAGGCTGCCAAGGGCCCCCTAAAGAACTGCAGTCTTAAATATCAGTACAGTTCTGTATTTTTTTCTAGTTGCTGGGGAACCAACCACTGAAATTTTTTACTAGAGAGTCTGACAGAGAGAGGCAGGCAGAGGGGTTGAGGGAAGAAGAGCGGGCTTATAATCGCTGACCACAAAATTCACGCTACGTCCACATCTGTGGACACTGGGGGACGGGCAGCACTCAGACGGAAACAAGCTCACTCCGCTCCAGCCAGGCCGAAGGCCTCTCCTCTGCTCCCTGGGTGGGGGTCTGGAGGAGACCAGAACCACAGCCTGTTACCCACCCCTGCGCAGTCATCCTGCCCCAGCCCACCAACCATCATCCACCAATCAGATCCCACCTGGTCCTGTGTGTTTGAGGATAAAGTTTTCATCATCAAACTTCTTCCCGTAGATGGACTTGCCCCCGGTGCCATTGTGGTTGGTGAAATCACCGCCCTGGCACATGAACTGGGGGATGATGCGGTGGAAGCTGCTGCCCTTGAAGCCAAAGCCCTTCTCGTGGGTGCACAGGCAGCGGAAATTCTCTGGGGCCGAGAAAGGAAAAGGCGCCTGAGTCAAAAAACAAACCGATGGGGGGACTTCCTTGGTGATCCAATGGTTAAGATTCCATGACTCCAAGGAAGGAGTATAGGTTCAATCCCTGGTTGGGGAACTAAGATCCCACTTGCCTCGGGGGCATGGTCAAAAAACCCCCAAACAATGAGATCTCTAACTAGACTCTGAAAAACTATATTTGTTTAATGTTCATATTTTCATTTCAAAATACGACATGTTCATTATAAACCTTTGAGATACTGACTATCTTAAAGGATTAGAAGGGAGTCTAGTTAAAGAAGGCATGAAAACATGCATTCTAGATCTTATCCACCCTAAACTGGTGGTAAAGCAATTTTTAAAAAGAAAGACCAAACAGGATCTTAGAGAAAAAGACAGGTCAAGTCTTTGTGGCTTTGCACTTGGCAATGTCTTAACTGCAACACTGAAAGTATAAGTAACAAAAAATTGGCAAATGAGACTTCATCAAAATGAAAAACTTTTGGACATTAAAGGACAGATACTCTCAACAAAATGAAAAGGCAACTTAGGGAATGGAAGAAAATATTTGCAAATCATATCTCTTAAGTGTTTAACATCCAGAATATAAAATGAACTCCTACAAATCAACAACAAAAAACCAACCTAGTAAATAAATATGCAAAAGACTTGCACAGATATTTCCTCAAAGAAGATAAACAAATGGCCCCTACCCCTAAGCACATGAAACGATGCTTCACATCATTAGTCACTGCCGCTGCTGCTAAGTCACTTCAGTCGTGTCCGACTCTGTGCAACCCCATAGACGGCAGCCCACCAGGATCCGCCGTCCCTGGGATTCTACAGGCAAGAACACTGGAGTGGGTTGCCATTTCCTTCTCCAGTGCATGAAAGTGAAAAGTGAAAGTGAAGTCACTCAGTCGTGTCTGACTCTTCACGACCCCATGGACTGCAGCCCACCAGGCCCCTCCGTCCATGGGATTTTCCAGGCAAGAGTACTGGAGTGGGGTGCTATTGCCTTCTCTGCATTAGTCATTAGGGGAATACAAATCAAAACCACAATGAGATCCCACTTCCCAACTACTAGGATGGCTATGATAAACAGAAAACAAGTGAGGATGTAAAGAAACTAGAGCGCTTATACATTGTTTATGAGAATGGAAAATGGTGCAGCCACTGTAGAAAGTAATTTGGTAGTTACTCAGAAAGTCAAACTAGAATTACCATATGACCCAGCATTTCCAGTCTTAGGGAGGCATCCAAAATAATTGAAAACAGGGATTTAAATACTTGTTTGTACACAAATGTTCACAGTATCATTATCCATAGTAACTGGCAAGTGGAGCCAGTGTTCAAGTGTCCATCAACAAATGAGTAGAGAAACAAATTGTGGACCCAGCAATCCCACTTCTGGGCATACACGCCGAGGAAACCAGATCTGAAAGAGACACGTGCACCCCAATGTTCATCAGACCGGGATGGGGAATACATGTAAATCCATGGCTAATTCATTTCAATGTATGACAAAAACCACTGCAATGATGTAAAGTAATTAGCCTACAACTAATAAAAATAAATGGAAAAAAAAAAAAGAGAGAAACAAATTGTGGACTATCCAGACAATGGGATATTACCCAGCCATACTGATGCCTAAAAGACCCCTGAAAAAACAATGCTAAGTGAAATAAGTCAGACATAAAAGGACAACTACTGTTATGACTCCATTTATATGAAATGTCTAGAATAGTAAATTCAGAGAGACAGACAGTAGATTAGCTGCGAGTAGAGGAGAAAGGGGAGCGACTGTTTAACGAGTCCCAAGTTTCTACCGGGCTTCCTTGGTGGCTCAGCTGGTAAAGAGCCCGCCTGCAGTGCAGGAGACCCCAGTTTGATCTCTGGGTCAGGAAGATCCACTGGCGAAGAGAGAGGCTCCCACTCCAGGACTCTTGAGCTTTCCTGGTGGCTTAGACAGTAAAGAATCCACCTGCAATGTGGGAGACCTGGGTTCCATCCCTTGGTTGGGAAGATCCCTTGGAGAAGAGAAAGGCTACCCACTCCAGTATTCTGGCCTGGAGAATCCCATGGACTGTATAGTTTCTATTAGGGGTGGTGCAAAAGTTTTGAGAGTAGATAGTGGTGATGGTTGTATAACATTGTGAATGCAATTAATGCCAGTAAATCATACACTTAAAAAATGGATAAAATGACTATCCCCTAAAAAGGAGTGAGAGTAGAGACAACAGCAACTAAAAATCTTCGGGACCTAGAAGACAAACAGATGAGCCATAACCGACAGAGCAGACCTAACAAAGCTGAAGCTTAAGCTGATAAAGCCAAGAAGCAATTTGATTTCTGCTGCATAAATTCCAAAAACTCAGTGACAAGGATGAAGATGGTTCTAAAAGCAATAAGTCTGGTTGAAAGCTCACTTAAAAGCAGCTAGCCCCCAGATCCTCTCTCTTCCCTAGCCCTCGCTGCTGGTGGGAGGTCTACCCTCCAGCAGGTTAAAGCAGAGGGTCTCTGGTCTGGGATGCTCTACACATACCTGAGGGTTGAGGTATGGAGACAAATGGAGATTCAGTGAAGTTCATATACTGCTCCCACAACCTCCCACCCTCCATGATGGCAAACAACTGGACACAGGACCATTAGCAAGAGGCTAGAGTCTTCTCTGTGGCCTCTGCTCTGTCCAAGAGACTATAACTCAGGGATACTGATATCCGGAGTCCAACAGAAAGAATCACCTCATAGAGGAAGCCTCAGTCAGCAAGCCTTACCAATGTCCAGGGAGTTTCCAAGCAGATTTTAAGGACCCTAGTCTTAAATATGAGAAAGGCATCTAATGTGAAAAGCAAAGACTGAAACAAGCAAACAGATCAATAACAAAGAAAAACAAACAGGAAAAAAAACGGAAAAAAGTAATTTCAAATATAAGCTGTATAGGAAAAAGAAATTTTAGTATACTAATCTCTCAAGTTGAAATGATAGTACATGCCTGAAATAAGCACAGGATGCTATGAAAAAGAACATTTAGAAAGATTCCAAAATATGAGTAGAGAAAAATCAGAAGGGATAAAAGTAAAGAAATAATTCAAGGAAAATTTTTCAAAAGATAGGACTGTCCTAATTGATGGGTGTGGTATGCAGGATAATGGCTCCCGAAAGATGTCTATATCCCAATTCCTAGAACCTGAGAATATGCTGCTCACAGCAGAAGGTACTGTGCAGATGTGATTAAGGTTACGGACACTGAGATAGGGAGAGTGGCCTAGATTACTCCGGTGGGCCTAATATAATCACAAATCTATAACCAGAGAACCCTTCCCAGCTAAAGGCAGAAAGAGATAGAAGTGGATGGACTGTTGTACAGCAAAAACTAACAAAACATTGTAAAGCAATTATATTCCGTCTCCCCCACAACCCACCCCCCAAAAAAAGTGGAAGGAAAAGGAGGCAAGCGATTCAAAACATGAGAGGGACTGAATCAATCACTGCTGGCTGTGATGACAAAGGAAGGCGGTCACAAGCCTCTGGAAGCTGGGACCAGCCCTCAGCTGGCAGCCAACAAGGAAATGGGTACCTCCATCTGCAGATGCAGGAAACTGAATTCTGTCAACAAGCTGACTGTCTCTGGAAACAGATCTACCCATAGAGCTTCCAGTAAGGAATGTGGTAACCCAGCTACCACCTTCCTTTAACCTGGTGAGACCTGTGTTGGGACTTCTGGCCTTTAGAACAGTTAAGACAATAAATTTATGTTCTTATAAGCTGCTAAGTCTGTGATAATTTGTTACAGCAGCAAGAGAAACCAATACAGTAGGACCCACTGAATATCCAGCAGGATGGATGGAAGCAGATCTATTCCAAGAGGACAGTATTTCAGAACACAGGACACAGACACCCTCCAAGCCTCTAGACCAGTGTTATCTAACAGCTTTTAGGCATCTGAATCACTGAAGAAGTTGAATTTTAATTTTATTTAACTTGAATTAATTTAAGCTTAAAGAGTCACATGTGGACAGTGACTACCATATTCGGACAGCTCAGCTCTAGACAGAAAAAAAAAAAGGTTTTGTATAAAGGACCAAGAATCAGAATGACATTAGACTTCTCTAGAATTCTACATCCAAACTATCAGATGGGAAAGTAGAAATTTTCATACATCAGTCTCAAAAACCTGACCCTCCAGGCTCTTTTCTCCAAAAGCTACAGAATTATGTCCTCTACCAAAATGAGGGAATAAATCAAAAAAGACAACAGACGTTCCAACATAGGAAGTGAAAGCAGGAGATCCCACGACAAAAGCTATGAGATGGGCCTGGAAGGCAACTGGTCCAGGCCGGGGGAGGTCAGAGGGCTCCAGGGAGGAATAAGTGAAACTGACAAAATATCTGATGTTTGAACATGATGGAGATTTATACAAGCAGGAAAATTTGGGATAGCTCAGGAATATATGTACAGAATACTAAGCAAATATGAAAACAAGATAATTATGAATTCCAGGGAAAACAAAGTGCTGTGTATGAAAAGAAGCTATCACAATATGACGCTTACATAGTCAGAATAACCTGTGACCTAACCAAAATTATGGTAACAACATGAGGAGGATGAAGGAGCTGGGAAGGTGATTTAAAAAGCTAGTTTCTTAACTTCTCAAGTGGGAAGCAATAGATGTCTAAAATGAAAAGATATTAAAACAAAAAAAACCCCAGAAAGTAGCAACATACATCTGTCATCTACAAATACAGAGGTTAAAAACCGAAAGAATGAGTTAAGAGTTGAAACTGGCTGCCTCTGAGAAGCAGTATACGGTGCTGGGGGATACGGCAGGGCAGGAGGACAGCATGGGGGGGGGGGGCACTGCTGTGTTTTCCCAAACAAACTGTGAAACTGACATTCCTAACTATATGTCTACATAATAATATTTAGACCAAAAGAAGAATAAACAGAATTCAATATTTAACAAATGAAAAAATGTTCAAGAAGTTGTTAGTTATCGGTAGTTACTTCTGAAGAGTACGATTAAATGTGGAGAAGGAATAAAGACTCAGGTTTTCAATTTATCGCCTTCAATACTGTTGGAGTGTATGTGTGTGTTTACTTTAAAAAACAAACCAACCATGAATACGCATTCACTTGTATTACAGAAAAAACTGCTTACCTGCTGTCATGGGCACGACGTCTGAACGCAGGAGCATCTGGATGCGGCCAGCCGGCTTGTTCCCAATCTTGATGTCCATGTACACCTGAGGGTTTGACCGGGCCTTTTTTACAGCGGGCTCTCCCTAGATGCAGGAGAAACGGCCAGGTTAGAGAGAACGCTCTGACTCCCCAACTAGGAGAGCGAGTGTGAATGAACACACCTGAGAACCCAACTACAGTGAGCAAGCTGAACAGGGTGGCGACAGGGAAGGCCTTGGGGCTGCAGAAGAACGTGAAGGCCACAGCCATGACCCCGGCTGGACATCCAGTGACAGGAGACTTCAGCACCGTCTACCTGGAGCCCCACCCTGCAGGCGTGTCATCTCCTCACACTCCCTCAGACACATGAGGCTGCCTCACTTTCACCCTCCCTGTGGTCACAAACAACACTTCTCTGGCCCCAAACAGGCAACTCTCAGCACCTTCACACCCCAGCTCAAGGGCACCCACCTTAATCCAGTTAAACGGACCCACTTCTATAACACCATCCCCTCCCTCTGTGCGCAGCCCTGCGTGGTACAGGCTGGCTGCAACGGAAGCAAGGAGCACCAAAGTGCTCACAATGGAGGTGACCGGGACCTTGCTCTATACTCCTCTTGAAGGCACTCTGCTTAGCCTCTGTACTTGCTGCTTGTGTCAGTGTGGATGGAAAGTGGCAAGCTAGTGAGTTGGAGAACACAGGATGAACAAGATTAGGGGAGGGAGGGCGAGACTTGCAGCAGAAATGTCTGAAGCTCAGGGCTAGAAACAGAGGCCAGGAGAGTCCAACAGCACATGAGAGGCTGTGAAAGATCAGAGTGACTGCTGCTGTTTTGGCAGAGACGGGAGAGAGACCACTAGTCAAGACAGAAACCCGGAACACCAGTTACAAGGGGGAGGGGCAGCCGGAGAGGCGATCGTTAGAGAGGTGCAGTGAGAATCAGAATAAAGTGCCAAGGCAGGTTCCCTGGAAGGGAGGACCTCAAACCTGTGCCCAGACTGAAGGGAAGGGACCCCCACCCTGCCTTGCCTCAGGACAGGAAGACGGTGAGCCGGGAGCCCAACACGTGCGTGAAGGAGGGGGACTGACGAGGAGGGTGCAGAGGCCCACACACCGCCCTTCCTCACCTCACACTTCCTCCTCTTCAGTAACAATCACAGAACAGAACCCAGCAGAGCTGAGAAGCTCCTCATGCAGAGCACAAGGGCGAGAGGCTTAAAGCTTCCCTTCAGCTCACTCATTACCAACCCCACCAGAACACCGTAAGTTCACTTTTCATTCTCTCTACTTTTGCATGTGCATTTGCAGATTTCCATAAAAACCTAAAAAAACAAAGCCTCCTGGGGAAAGTGCCAGCCTGCAATCTCACCTCCCGCGTTTCCACTTTGGGGGGCTCTGACCCCTCCTCCTCTTTGTTCTCCTCAAGAGTCTTCCCAGAGAACTTCTTCAACCAGTCATCATCAGACCAAACTGAAAAGAAAGAAGCAAGCAGATGAGAACAAATTCAAGCCATCAGCCAGCTGCTAAGTGGGTGCTCTGGTCAGCGAAGCAGAACACATTCTGTGGCCCTCTCAGCCAGAGGTCTCCACTCTGGGAAGCAACATGCATCAGGCAAGTTCCCATCTTTGCCAGGCCTGAAGTCCAGCTCTTCTGTGTGTTAGTCGCTTAGTCGTGTCTGACTCTTTGCAACCCCATGGACTATAGCCTCCCAGGCTCCTCTGTCCATGGGATTCTCTAGGCAAGAATTCTGGAGTGGGTTGCTATTTCCTTCTCCAAGCTCTTAGCAGGGCTATGTGAAAAGGCTATGCCCCAGGGAAAGGTGCAGCCCTTGCCAGTCCCAGCCCCTGATGGAACCTGCCAGGAATGAGAAAGCTGGGACAGATGAGCGATCAGGCACGGCTTCTCTCATAAAGGAAACAATTACTCTGGTGTGGCTGAGAAGCTCACGCTCTTTATTTCCCCACAAAGGTGGCAGAGGTCCTTTGCCAATGTAAACCATCCTCTACTACTGTCTGCCAGAGAAGCATTCAGTGCCTACTTTCAGTAAAACTGGGACAAGAAGGCAAGCAAGGCCAAACTAGCAGGTGTGAGGGGGCATCTGTATTATTCCCACTCACCTGGTCTGGAAGAGCCTTCTTTAATCCTCATGGGTTTTGCCAAATTGACACGAATTGTCCGTCCAAAGAGCTCAGATTCATTCTGAAAAGTGTGAAAATCCAGTTGTTTAAACTGTTAGATTAAAAGAAAGTCAGACACTTTCCATTTACTTCCAATACATCTGAGACAAGTTCATGATTTGTTGTCCCTTAATCCCTGATCCCCTAACAGCAAGTTATGCACCTGCCACAAAGCAGTCCGTGGGCTGCAGAGAATTTCCTCCCAGGAGTCATCATACAGTTCCTTTCTCTTTTCTTTTAAATTTATTATTTCCTTATTTGGATGCATTGAGTCTTCGGTGCAGCACATGAGGTCTTTCTTGTGACCCATGGACTCTCTAGCTGCAGTACAGGCTTAGTTGCTCCGTGGAATGTGGGATCTTAGCTCCTTGACTTGGGATTGAATCTGTGTCCTCTGCATTACAGGGTGGATTCTTAACCACTGGGCCACCAGGGAAGTCCCCTTCTATTTTAAAATTGAAGCACAGCTGATTTACAATGTTTTGGGTGTACAATAAACGGATTCAGTTATACATTATATATATGTGTGTGTGTATATATATATATATATGTATGTATGTATCTCCTTTGTCAGATTCTTCTCCATTATAGGTTATTACAAGATATTAAATAACAGGTTTCCTGTGCTATACAGCAGGATCTTGTTGTATATTTAGTTCATATGCAGTAGTATGTGACCTCCTTTCTTTCAATACTAGTAATGACCTCTGCTAACAAAAGTGACACTGTGTTTGAAGCACTCTGAAATTACAAGGATAAATGCAATTTCCAAGTACCTGAGTTCGTTTTCAAAAGTCAAGGTCAGCCTTAAGCAATGAGAAGTGATCGTGTTCTGAGAGCTGAGGAAAACATTTGATGAATGGGAAACAGAGAGCAAGAATAAAGGAAAGCCTTATTACCCTAAGATAACTGGTACCAGGAAAGGTCACTCAAGTGTGAAATCACTTAAAGGCAGTGAAGAAAATTTCGTGGTAAAATGTGAAGGGGAAAAAAATTGGGAATATACTATGATGAAATTAAAACTAATGACAATAAATTTCTTATAGTTAAAATTCAGCTTTTAAACTATGGCCTAATTTGAAGAACAGAGATATAATGGATGTTTCTACATCTGCAGTATCTTTTTCAACAAAATCCTACCAACAGTATAGATTATCTTTGCATTTCTTATCTGATGTGAAAATCCTAAGTATCCTGAAGAGGGAACACACACTCAAGAGCTGCATCATTGCCCCAAGGAGCTCTCCAGGCTGTCCCAATCACTTGGATCAGTAGCACATCCTATCATTATCCTTATCAAATTTCTCTTCTCAATTGTTAACACTTCATGAAACCCTGCCTCTTTTGTAAAATATGCAATTTCACCATGCAATCACTTTGCATTGTTTGCAATTTCCTATCCTAGACACAGGCAGTCAGTGAGAGACTGGTCAATGAGGATGGTTAGCCTTTACATTATTATCAAGTGGAGAAAGGTATTTGAGAAAGGACAATTTTATAAGTGATCAATTCACAGTGAATATTTTCACAGGATGACAATCTGTATGTACTTCCTCATGCAACCTTGTAACTTTGGAGGTTTAGCAAACCCAATATAGAACTAACTGCCCTCTGTACCACCAAAAAGCAACTTCTGTAAGAAGCAGGATTCCCAGCCTTACCATGTTGTCAATAGCTGCTGCAGCATCCTGCCAAAAAGACAAGGTATAAATTTAGGTTTACAGTCAAATGCTTCTTGTAGTGTCTAAACACACACTTGGTAAAATGACAAAAGAACAATCCAACAAAAAAAGTTCTTTTTCTTCCTCACCCTTGTTGCATGTGTCTAACAGAGTGCACTTCCTAGCTGACTTCAGCTATTTGCCATTTGGTGGAAGACAAAGAAAGTATCACCAGTGCTGCCAGGGAAAGATGCTCAAAGAGCAGGACTGCAGGAGTTCTGCAGAGCAAGAGGGGCAGGACCTAGCAGGTCTGTGATGTTAATCACAGCGCATGGTTTCATTAAGTGAAGGCAGCTTTCCTTCAAACCGTGTTTCTCACCTCTCTGGAAGCATCAGCATGAGGCCCAAAAACCCAACCCCAAATGAAGAACAGCTCCCTTTGTAATCAGTAACAATAACAAGCCAAAGACTTAACATAGATAACAGAATTTTCTCACCTCTGCCAACTCAAATTCAACAAAAGCAAATCCTCGGTGCTTTTCTGAAAAAAGGTAGACAATATCAAGCAATTATCATGTTGGACAATGGGAAGAAGCAGGTGGTCACAAAGAAAGTGAAGTCAGTCACATGCCTTATCCATTTACTAGAAATTCTACACCATCACTATTTAGGAAAAAGGCATCTTACTCTGATTCTTTCTAGTTTAAATAACATTTCAAGCAACATTAAACTGTTTTGTAGCGAGTGAAAGTCACTCAGTCATGTCCGCCTCTTTGTGAACCCATGGACTATAGCCTACCAGGCTCCTCTGTCCATGGACTTCTCCAGGCCAGAATACTGGAGTGGGTAGCCTTTGCCTTCTCCAGGGGATGTTCCCAACTCAAGGACCAAACGCAGGATATTATCCCGCATTGCAGGCAGATTCTTTACCATCTGAGTCACCACGGAAGCCCGTTTAGTAGTGAACATAACTAAATAATGAACTATACTTTTAATCTTTAAAAGCAGCATTCTTTACCAAAGCCAAATCAAATCTTAACCTTTGCATGCAAGGCAGCTAGAAAAATGAAGTCATTTAACCTATCAATCATTCATTCCAAGCATACATTCTGAACATCAACTGTGTATAAGTCATGAATCCTAAAACCTGGGTAAGGATGCTCAGATTTGATCCTCAGCAAAACGTAATCTAACCAACACCAACTAGAAGGGCCAAGTGCACAACACCATTAGTTTAAGTAACCAATTAACCTTACAGAGTCAACATAACCTTATTGTTTTTATACATATAAAGGTCCCAGGGAGGTTAAATCCATATACAAGGTTGATGACAGAGCTGAAGCCACACAACTCATCTCAGGACTCAGCAGAGCATAGGTTGCTGAAAGCACAAAACAATCTCAGGCTTTAATGAAGCTGAGGTTCTTTTGTCTCCTTGCGAAAAGAATTCACTGGGAGGCAAAGCGACATGGAAGAGTACTTTATTAGTATAGGACGCTTGTGAGAGATACAAGGAGGCAGGCAAGAGGGAGCTGTGACAAGAACTTAGTGGGGTGCAACTTAATTTTTTTACTTTTAAAATTCATTTCTTTATTTATTTTTGGCTGTGCTGGGTCTTTGTTGCTGCATGGAGGCTTTCTCTAGTTGTGGCGAGTCGGGGCTACTCTCTAGTTGCATGGGTTACTCTCCAGTGTGTGGGTTTCTTATTGCAGTGGTGTCTCTTATTGTGGAGCACAAGCTCTAGAGCACAGTTCAGTAGTTATGAAGCACTGCCTCAGTTGCCACGAGGCATGTGGAATTTTCCCTGCATTGGCAGGCAGATTCCCAACCACTGGATCACCAGTGAAGTCCTGGGCTATACCTTTATAATTAAAGAAAAGTGAGGAGGAGGAGAAGACTACCCTCTTCCTCATTCTTTGAGTCTCCCATCATTAATTCTTCCTACATGCTGGGTAGGGGAGTTTTTGACCCTGTATGGCCCCACTGGGACTGTCATGGTGCTATGGAAATGACCAAGAAGGCTCATATGGTAAATCATCTCAGGTTTCAGTATAATGTTACCTTTCCCCTACATTTTTGTTTTTAGTGTGTGCATAGGAGCATGGCCAAGGGATCATTAACTTACTGACCTCAACCAGCAGAATGCAGGTGTCACTGCTATATAGTGCTGTTGTTAAGCAGGGCTGCTTGGTTTTGTTGTTAAGCAAGCCGGCTTTCTTGAGTGATCAATTAACTCACAGGGGTCTCCCAAAATTCCCTCTCTATGATCCCCTAGTGGGATTTCTAAACTAGTTGTGTACTCTAGAGCTGGGCCTAAAACTCCAATCTTAAAAATGACAACAAAGGTTAAGACAGAAAACTGAACTGCAACTGTGATACTAATTGAAGGAAAAGTTCTCCAGGTGCAAAGAAGCTGAGGCCCCATTGTTGAAGCTGGGCTTTCCTGCTACCCTATTTAACAGCACAGCTGCCAAGAAGAGAGCCGCTGTAGGAGAGTGCCTGGCAGGCAGTTTGAAACAACAAATCTCCATACAGCTTGAAACAAATCTTCCTACTGGCTAACTGAAAAGCTTGTCTTACTTCAAATGCAATATATGGGATCTGAAAAGCATACTGCAGCTCACAACCACAAGCCTCAGAGAAGTCTTTCTGCATAAAGACCACTGTCAGGCTGCCCAAAGCATATTTAGAACGTACTGTAATATGACTTACAAAAATGTTAAGTTCTTTCCTAGCAGGAGGATTTTGGGCATGAGAAACACTAAGACGACTCACCTGTTTCATAATCCAGAGGAATCTGGATATCCGTGATGTCTCCAAAAGGGATAAAAGCAGCATGGAGAACTTTGTCATCCACCTCCTCCGCGAGTCCACCTGCAAAGACACCAAGTGCCTTCTGAACTACTGTCCTCCAGTCTGTCGAGAAGTCCCGGCTGTAAAATTAGCATGCCATTGCCAGGGAAGGAATCTTTCCATTCAGTCCTGAGTTCATAAACATCCCTCTCATTTGCTCCTTCACACTTATGAAGCACACTCTTCACTCTCCTTTCAGACCTTCATTTAGCCCGGAGAGCCCCTCAACAACTTCCTAACTGCCTCCCTTCTCCTCCACAAAGCCAACCAGTACCATCCTGGGAACGTTGAGACTTTAACTCTTCACTTCCCTGCTTAAAGTACTTTATCCTCGGGATAAAGTACAAACTTAGCACTGTTCACAAGGCCCTGCCCACTTCTTCAGCCTCTTACCCTTTGCTTCCCCGCAAAACGACGCATTCGCCTCCAAGTGTTAGGCTATTTTACACCTTTGGGCTTTTGCTCGAGCTGCTCCCTTTCAGTAAACACACTTGTTCCTACTTCGCTACCTGCCTAATTCCAGCTCATCACCGGCGTCACCGCAGCCTGAAAACTTGCTCACCTCTCCAAATAGAGGGGTCATTTCTCCCCACATCGAGGCCTATGTCACCAGTGTCCGTCCCCACCAAAGCTCTCATCAAACTGTGCTATTGAGGTTATTCTCATTTTTAGCCGGCTAGCCTGGGAACTCTTTCCTTAAAGAGTGGGGGCTGAGCCATCGCTGAGGTGAATGTAAAATGAATGGACGCGAGGATTCAGAGGTCCCTAATATTCCTCCCACCATCGCCCCGTTCTCAGGTGATGAAGAGGTTCCTGTTAGAGGTTGGCGGGCTTCGAAGAGAGGTGCAGTTACAGTTACGTCTCAGGCTCACTCCCTGAGGCCAAGCAATACCGCCACAGATGCCACCTAGACAGCTGCTCGCCGCCTCTCGCGTCCGGAGACCTGTCCAGCTCCACGCCACGACCCACTCGCGGCCCGGTTCGCCCAGCCTCCGCCTAGCGCCCAAGCCTGCTCACCCACGTACAACACTCGCTTGGTAGTGGCCATCTTGCTCTCGCGCTCTTCCGCCGGAAGCCTGCGTTCGACCCGCCCCTTCCCCAAGGCTCCGCCTCCCGCGTACGGCGATCGCAGACCCCGCCCACTCTGGCTTAACCCGTGCAGGCCTCTGGGTGCCAAGGAGCTGCAAGTGCAGCGTAGGTGCGTGTTGGTACCTGAACCGACACGGCTCCAGCTCTGCCGGTGCTCGCTGCTGCGGAACACACTCCATTGCGGAGTCAGAAGGAGTCCGCAAGTAATAAACAACCAATAAAGTACGGTCCACGGGCCACCCCGCCCATATATTTTCGGACAACCTGGAGCTACGAATGGTTTTTACATTTTTAAAGAGCTGGGGGTCGGGGAAAGAAGAAGAAACAAGAATAATATTTCGTGACATGTGAAAATTGTATTAGATTCAGTTTTCATAAAAAAAATTTATCAGAACGCAGCCTTACTCATTCCTTTTAGTATTCATATGTGAGTGCTTTCAGGCTGCAGGGCAGATCCAGAGCCTACAAAGCTTGAAATATTTACCATCTGGATCTTTGGGGAAAACGTTGACCGACTCCTGGAATACATCAACTAGTAGCAATACATAAATTGGCCTAAATGGTACAAAATAATGGGGCCACTTTTTTTAGACACAGCAGTTGGTTAAGACCTCTCTGCAGCCACATTTAAGCTGAAACCACATTTAAGCTGAAACCATAAAGAAGAGGAGCCAGAGAAAGGAGGGAGCAAGGAAAAAGGTTTCCGGTAGAGGAGACAGCTTCTGCACCTTCCAAGAACTGAAAGGCCAGACTGTGGGCCTTGGGGAGGAGAGGGACATGGAACATCAGACAGAACAGGTGGGTAGGGGTGGCAGGATGCATGACCCTGCAAACCATGTGGAGTACTTGGGGGCTTTGAGAAGCTACTGAAGGTTGTGATGGATAGACTGGTCACATTTATACTTCAAGATAGTCTCTGACCATTGTGCCCAGAATGATTTGGGTGGAAGCCTGGAGACCAAGAGGTTAATGCAGTCGAGACTAAGAAAGAGTTGATGATGGTTCTGTCCCCCAAGTCTACCCTCTGGCTTGTTCCAAGGGTGATCTTAAGGAAAAAAAAACACCTCAAGTCTCTAGAGCTCCTTTTTTTTTTCCTTATAATTTTATTTACTTATTTGTTTGTGGTTGTGCTGGGTCTTTGCTGCACAGACTTTTTCTGTAGTTTCAGGGAGCAGGAGCTATTCTCTAGTTGCTGTGTGAGGTCTTCTCATTGCTGTGACTTCCCTCATTTCAGAGCACAGGCTCTAGGCTTGCATGCTTAGTAGTTGTAGCATGAGAGCTCAGTAGTTGTAGCACACGAGCTCAGTAGCTGTAACTCCTGGGCTCTAGAGCGCAGTCTCAGTAGTTGTGGTTCAATGGCACACCTGCTTAGGTGCTTTGCAGCCTGTGCGATCTTCCCAGACCAGGGACTGAACCCATGTCTCCTGCATTGGCAGGCAGATTCTCCACCACAGAGCCCCCAGGGAAGCCCCTAGAGAATCAGTATTGCTGATGACAAGGCTCCTAGAGCCCTTGATATGGGGCCGTGACATGGCCATGCCAAGTCAACCCCTGCCAACACTCCAGCTCTGGCCCTGACCATGTATTCAATTCTCTTGCCTGTGCTCATTTGGCCCTCTCCTTTCTCTATCCTCGGGAGGCATCCACCAGTCCTTGCTGAAGGTCCTGCTTACCCCACAGCTGGGGGTCATGGCCTCCAAATCCAACAGTTGACTGGAATACATCCTGTGACTGCAGCCAGGTGTGTGTCTATCTCTTTCTTTGACAGCAAGGCCTGTGCCTACTGTGTTCCCAGAGCTAAGCGGTGGATACAAACACAAACCTCACTGTCCTCAGGACAAACCAGAGGGATACCACTCATAGAAATGAGGCTATGAGATCTGATTACAAGATTCCCCTGTGAGCCTGTCACTATTGCCTACTAACAAGGTCACTCTCAAGGGAATCTGACAAGGTATCCTTTATGAAGATGTGGTATTACATATATTTATATATTTGGTCTTTGTCCCCACTACCTGGCACAGAGCCCTTAAAACCCTTAGAATTTTCTGAAAGAGGCTCTTTTTAAATTCATAATGAACCCTTTTGACCATACCTGAGTTTACTCTAAGGTTGTGACTCATGGTGGAGTTCTATATTAGAGTTCTACAGAGAAAAAGAAAGGAAAAAAAAAGAGAAAAAGAACTAATAGGAGAAATATATATAGTAGGAAAATATCTATATGTATATATAGATATATATACACACATTATATAGATACATATGGAGAGATTTATTATGAGAACCAGTAAAACCAATTGTATAAATCCTGGTTCAAGAGTAGGAAGACATTGCGATGTCCCAGCTCAGTCATTCAAGCAGATGAAGGTGCGAATTCTCCTCTCCTCCACCTTAGGTTCCATTCAGGCCCTCAGTGGACTGGATGAGACCCACCACCTTACAAAGGGCAATAGCATTACTGAGTCCACTTATTCAACTGCTAATCTCATCTAGAAACACCCTCTAAGACATTTAGAAATAATGTTTAGCCAACTATCTGGGCACCCTATGACCTAGTCTAGTAGATACATAAAATTATCCAACACAGGTCCCTAGATAGCTTCCAGATGGGAGCTGATCACCGGAGGAACTGACTACATGATTTATAGGGTTGGAAAAGAAGGGATGGAAATTGAGTTCAATCACCAATGGCCAGTGACTTAATCAATCATGTCTGGATAGTAAAACCACATGTAAAAACACTAAATGTGGTTTTAAACTGGAGCAGGCATCAGAATCATCCGGAAGGCTTTTAGAACACAGGTTGCTGGGCTCCACTCTCAGAGTTGTTGAATTTGTAGGTTCAGGGTACCAAGACTGTTCTTTAATTACATGTGCCCAGGTTACCTTCAAGCTGCTGGCCCGGGAAGCACAGTTTGAGAAACATCTCTTCCAAGAAAAGAAGTGACATATCAAGAGCAAGGCATAGAACCAATCCCTTCTGACTGAAAACAAAAAGGAGTATATGGTGTATGAGAATTTTCAAACAGTAATAAAACAACTAGAAAGTCAGTTGTTTTTTCTTTTTGGGAGGGGGAATGTGACAAGGGAAAAAACTGTAATTGCTGGGCCTTTGAATCCTGAACAGAGAATGAGGACAAAGAAATTATCCATAAAGGAGAAATTATATAAGTCTTTCCTTTTTTTTGGCTGTGCCGCAAGACTGAGGATTGAACCTGGCCAGTGAGAGTGTAGAATCCTAACCATTGGACTGCCAGTGAATTACCAAAAGTCAGTCATTTTTTGTTATCACCATGTGCAGGCAACTCTGATCAAATTTTTTTAATTGTCTAAGTCAGGGGTCCCCTATCCCCAGGTCACAGACCAGACCGGTCCAGAGCCTGTTAGGAACCAGACCACAGAGCAGGAGGCGAGTGGCAGGAGAGAGAGCAAAGCTTCACCTGCCATATTTGTGGACTGCTGGTATAAAACAATTACTGTGGCTACTCTTAAACATATTTCCTGTTGGCACATTTGAGTACTTATCTTTAATAAATATTGTATTCTATTTAAAAACTAAAATGGGAATCTATATGGTCAGTCCCCAAGACACCTGGACTCAGTTACATACGCTTATTTGGAGAGTAAATTCTTAGTGGTTCAGAATGGTTTGTGTTCCTTCAAGCTCACTTTGGGCACAGTTTGTGTCTCTAACCCTTGTGTAACTATGGATTCCTGAATTTAAAAAGTATTCAAAGAGATAGTTGCATGTGATTTTTCTCTTTCAAGTTACCTTTTTTCCTGGAGTGAAAGTTTAGATGAGGTTAATAAGACAAAAATATTTGCCAACAACGGGATTCAGCTTTGAAAAATGTACAATAAAATATTGTTTTAAAATTGTCCCTTGTAGATGGCCCATAGGCACATGTCAAGATACTCAGCATCACTAATTTTCAGAGAAATACAAATCAAAACTACAGTGAGGTATCACCTCACACTAGTCAAAATGGCTACAAATAAATGCTGGAAAAGGTGTGGAGAAAAGGGAATCCTCCTACATTTTTTTGTGGGGATATAAATCGGTGCAGCCACTATACAGCACAGTATAGAAGTTCCTTAAAAAACTAAAAACAGAGCTACCATATGATCCAACAATCCCACTCCTGGGCATATATCTGGAGAAAATTCTAATTCAAAAGGATGCATGTACCACAGTGCTCATAGTAGCACTATTTAAATAGCCAAGACATGGAAGCAACCTAAATGTCCCTGCACAGATGAATAGATAAAGAAGATGTGCTACATCTACACCCAATGGAACACTACTTAGCCATAAAAAAATGAAATAATGCCATTTGCATTTGCAGCAGCATGGATTGACCTAGAGATTATCATACTAAGTGAAGTAAGACAAACAAGTAAGATAGATATATGATATCATTTGTATGTGGAACCTAAAATATGATACAAAGGAACTTATTATGAAACAGAAACAGACTTACAGACATAGGAAACAAACTTATGGTTACCGAAGGGGAAGGGAAGGGGATAAATTAGGAGTTTGGGATTAGCAGATACAAACTGCTACATATAAAATAGATAAACAACAAAAGTCTTACTGTATAGCACAGGGAACTATATTCAGCATCTTGTAATAACCTACCATGGAAAAGAATATGAAAAAGAATATATGTATGTGTAATGGAATCAATAAAAGACAGAAATGGTATGGGCCTAACAGAAGCAGAAGATATTAAAAAGAGGTGGCAAGAATACACAGAAGAACTATACAAAAAAGATCTTCACGATCCAGATAATCATGATGGTGTGATCACTCACCTAGAGCCAGACATCCTGGAATGTGAAGTCAAGTGGACCTTAGGAAGCATCACTACGAACAAAGCTAGTGGAGGTGATGGAATTCCAGTTGAGCTATTTCAAATCCTAAAAGATGATGCTGTGAAAGTGCTGCACTCAATATGTCAGCAAATTTGGAAAACTCAGCAGTGGCCACAGGACTGGAAAAG